TTCTTTGTTAATGCAAAATTATTTTCCCCTTGGTTCTCTATGTCCATAACTGATTAGTTACATGAGACCCAGTTAACTTTTCAAACAATTCCTATTTACCTAATTTCCTCTTCTGGCAACAAAAAATAAGATAATGTCACAGTTTCACTGTCTTACAGTTACCTTCTAATGGAATAGGTTCAAATCCCTGCAACAATTATTTTAGTCTCTAAACTAAAGGGAGCTTAGTATCTCAGAGTAAAAACCAGATGATCGAAGTGCAGCTATACTAGGGCATTAAACACAGTACCCCGACATTTTAGTTTGAATTGGCCACTGACTCTGGGAAATCTATCCTGAACTCAAACCTCTGTTTTAAAATGCTTTTATCTGTAATATTTATGTCCATATATGAATTGGCTTATTGACGTAATATTTTAAAGATTTTTCTATTAATTTGTATAAAAAGCACTTAACCTGTTAACTGTTATCCAGTATGTTTTAATTAGACAATTTAACATGACTATCAAGCATTGTTAATTACATGTAAACCCATAATGTCAATTTCATAACATCTGAAAAGTAATTGGGACTAGCAAGAGGAATTTGGGCTGGACTCCATGATCTCCTGAGGTCTCTTCCAATCCTAAGATCCTATGATTCTATGAATTTTGAATGACAATGCTGAAATAATGGCATTTCTTTATCTTTGTAACTTTCCTGTATATATTTCTTGGCTGGTAAATAATAAGTTAGTAGCACTTGGAATCTCATAAGATTCTGCTCAAAAACTCTCATGGCTCTCACTTCATCTTTTAAACCCTTACAGAACCACCCATTTTAAATGACAGAAGTCAAATTGTTAGGCATAATACGAGCAACTTGTGTTATGTAAGCAAGCTGTGTCAAACGGTCAGATTTGTCCTTGGGCAATGATCCCTATATACTCCACATGTGACTATGTTGCAGATACTTTTCTTCATACTCTGGATATGTAACACAAACCAGGCATCTCCATAAAATGGACATTTCTGCTGTTTGAACTAGAGATGTTAGCAACTAGTCAACTAACTGATAAGCCGGAACTTATTGGTTAGCTCTGTCGACTAGTTGTGTCCCCCCAGCTGCCGCTCTGCAATTAAAAGCATAGAGAAGCAGGCACACAGAGATGCTGGGTCAGTCCCTGCTCCGCAGGTCTCTTATCACTTAGGATACAACCCTCTCCCATCACAGCTCCTGCTTTCCATTTTACAGCACAGGAAAGCTGGCATAGAGAGAGTGGGTCAGTCCCTGCTCTGTGGGTCTTTCAATAAAATACTTCCCTGTGCTGTAAAATACAGAGCAGCAGCTGGGGAGAAGGGGATATGTTATGCTGAGTGATAAGAGACCCATGGAGCAGGGTCTGACCCAGTGTCTCCACATGCTGGCTTCCCTGTGCTGCAAGATGCAGAGCGGCAGCTGGGGATGTTAGGCTATGAATCCGCACAAGCCAGATTACGTGCTGGAACTACCTACCCTTAATTCAGTAGTCAATAAAAAAATCTATCAACTACTTGATTAGTAAATTAATCGCACTTTGACGTTCCTAGTTTGAACATCCCTATTCCCCTCTACCTCCTCCTCCTCCTCAATACTGTTCAAATATAGTGATCATTCATCTGTTTGAAAATCATTGGTGCTCTCTCACCCCAATTCTCTCCTTACTTCCTATCAACCTTATTCCCCAAAATAAAAACTACTTATATAGTTTGTTTTCAAGAAACACATCTGATGCGAAGAACCTTTTCTGCATTTCAAAACCTGTATTTTTCACAACTAAAGGAACCTTTCCCTGACTTTCAGGCCAGCAAAACCTCAGAGGAAGAACAAGGACAGAGAAGAACAAATGAACATGCTCAGATTGAGTCACAATTTGGAATATGTGAAATTTCCCTTCTATTTGCTTGGCTCTGATTGCATACATGGGCTTGTGGTGTGGGTAAAGACACTGTCTAATGGATAAACCAGAGGCAGATGCCTTAAATGCCTTTTCCAATTCTGTCATTGACTCATATGTGGCCTTAAACAAGTCATTTAACTGTTCTAGAATTCAGCTTATTCATGAATGTGAACCATAATTACCTATTTCAGAATGGTATTGTGAGGTTACATTGATTAATGCTCATAAAAAACACTTTGATATCCTCAATTGAAAGATATTAGAAAAATATTATTATTTTGCAATCTCTTGAATTCTATTTGTAAATGTTGGATTACCATTTTAAAGCACAGCAATCTCCACCATTAGAGATTACTATCAGATAGTGAGAGTAACTAATTAGGCAGAATTTCATTTTTGTGTTTAATGATTGTTTCTTTTCAGTACTATTGTGAAGCATCTAAATGTTGTAGATGGATATGAGAATAAATAAACTGGATGTCCAATTCTTTAAAAAATGAAAGGAAATTTCTTTTGCGTGCATTGCATCATGGGAAGAGAGAGAGTAGGTAAGAAAATGTCAGAGATGGATACTAAATTGTACCACAAAAAAACAAATCTCCTCTGATTCTGTGGTGAGATTCCTTGTGCTGTGTACATATATGAGCTCTGATGCATTGAACCAGCAGACTGACACAGAATAATTTGGTAGATTTTCATTAGGGTTTCACAGAAGTGTGTTATAGTGTTTCATCTGATAGATACTAAAGTAAGAGGTGATTGTCAAAGATTCCAAGGATTGTAACTGAAGAAGTATGATGAAAGGAGGATGATAATCCCAGACATTATGAAATCAATATAAAAGGGAAGCACTAATTACCACTTTACAGGATAAGTGATGGCCCATTTTTTTCAAAGCCCTTTGTCAGGTAACAGACAGGGATGCAATCCAGTTCCTTCTCTATGTAGCTGTCTTAACCCCATCTCACACATTTGAGGGATGGAATATAAAATTATTCCCATCCCCTCATCACTTTCTGCCTGTCTGTAATCCTCATTCAAGGTCTGGCAACTTCTAGTCTGCCAATATTTTAATGAAGGGTTCCAACCAAAATATCGCATTTATATTAGTCTGCAAGAAGCCCTGTTTAGGGCCAGAGAGGAAGAATAAGGGATTGGCACATCTATTTGTTTACTCACCAAAATTGTTTCTTGGAACCATAACTGCTGAAGTAGGTAAAAATTACTTGGCTAATAAACTCCTATCAAATGCCATTCACAGAGACTATCTCTACTCTGTGCGAAGGACATGGGGATGCCTGTAATATTTTATGACTAACAGGTTGAACTCTCTAGTCCAGCACTCTCTGCTCCGGCAACATCCATGGTCTGGCATGATTTTAGTTAGCCAGATGTTCACTTATCATGGGTGCGGTCAGATTTCCCCGCAGTCCCACAAAGTTTGTTTTCAGCCACCAGTCCTGGCTCTCAGTGTTCTGTACTGTTATTAAGTTCTAATTTACCCCTTAATGTCTTCTAAGAGCCCAGTAAGCAATGGAAGTGTTGGTGATGCTGCCAAACAATATTGACCTTCTGTGGTTTGGCAAATTCTCTGGTTTGGCCCCAGTCAGGTCCTCAAGGTGCTGGATTAGAGAGGTTCAACCTATATTATATATAATATTTATTTGTACTGTGTTTTCTCCATAGGATTGTAAGAGATTAATTCAGGCTGAGGTTATTTGCACATGTGCAGGAAAGGGAACAATAGCTTCAGATAGCTCCACTGGCTCGTATTTAAAAGATATTATCTGGGCCATTCACTTTTTAAGTTTTACCTCATAGACTTTGAAGTCAGAAGGGACCATCGTAATCATCCAGACGAGGGGTTCTTAAAATGTGGGTCACAATCCCATTTTAATAGGGTTGGCTTAGATGTGCTAGGGCCTGGAGTCAAAGCCCAAGCCCCACTGCCCGGGGCAGCAGGGCTTAGGTTACAGGCATGCTGCTCCGCCCCCTCTTCCCTGATCAAAGTTCCCTGTAATCTGCGTGGCTGCACAGTTGTCTATTTAGCTGCATGCAGGAGCTCAAGAACCCTGCCCAGGAACCTACTGTAGCCAGGGGAGGACCACTTCTCCCTCAAACCCAACCCAGCCAGGCTTCCAGCCTGCCATGACCAGGTTTTGGGTGGCCAAGGCCCAGAGTCCCTGTCACGGCAGCCCTCTCCCAGCTCCAACCAAGCCTGAGCTGGAACCTGCAGGGGTTGGCGGATGGGCACCTATCCTGTGGCCCCAGACCCAAAGCTACCACAGCAGGGAGAGGTGCCTTTCCCCCTCAACCCAAGTGCTGCTGCAAAGAGACACAAATGGGGGAGTCCTCTCTCTTTGCAGTAGCCCCAGAGCATCCTCTTTCACCCCAACCTTCCCCGAATCCATCCCTACCCTATAGCCTGCACCTCCAGCTAGAGCCCTCCCATCACTGCAGTCCAACCCTCTGTCCCAGCCTTGAACCCTTTATTTCAACCCCACCCAAGAGACCACATGCCAAGCCAGAGCCATTACACCCTTGATCCCTAACTCTGTGCCCCAGGCCTGAGCACCCTCCCACACTCAGAACCCATTGACCTCACCCCGCCACATTAATTTTGTGATGTGCACCAATACGAAAGTGGCGTGTCATACATCACCTCCATATTGGCGCACATAACAAAATTTGTTCCACTCAAGGGTTGAGAAAAATTAGAGGGAACACTACCCCTAATCTATGGGGCTTGGACTTTGGGCGGCACCACCTTGAGCAGCAGGGCCTAGGTGGGTTAAGGCATCAGTCCACTGTGCTGGGGTCATGTAGTAGTTTTTGTTGTCAGAAGGGATTGCCATGTAATGAAATCTGAAAAATGCAGTATTTTCCAATGGAAAAAAAAATCAGAGAGACATAGTGAACACTAACTAAGTAAAGCAATAAATTCAGTGCCTGAAGCTAAAAGCCAGAAAGATTCCTATGATGATTTCAAAGGGAACTCTGTGTCATTCCACTAAAATAGTCTTAAAAGCGGAGAATACTCAATTGTTTTGTGGAGTTTTTCCTGTTAAATAACAATACTTACAGCCTGAATCTGAAAGCAGTGAGCTGGACATAAAGTTGGTTTTAGTCCGCCAGTTAGAGGAGAGAGCTGCTGCTTGTATGTTGGAAACAGGAGCATCCATTTTCTCATCCTGAGAAAGGCAATGAACATGCTCTCTGTGAAAAATGTGCATTACTTAAGTTATATGGTTCCTTATTTACTGAGATTAAAAACAGCCTCAGGTTTGGTTCTACAAAGAGATGGTATTTTTTTAGCATTAAACTGATAAACTTTGATTTCAGTTCCTAGAACATAAACCACGTAGTTAAGTTTATGAATGATTTTGTTCCAAATTTCCTTTTCAATATTCAGAACTCCCGGAAACAAGTTGATTTCCCTACTTTGCCCAGGGAGCTTAATGGCTTCTTGCAACTATAATGAACTATATAAATGTGGCATGGGTCCTTTCCTGTATAATCACATCTAGACCCCAGAACGAATGAGAAGGACAGTACATGTATGCTCTGATGACACCACTTAACACTGATCCACATCAGCATGTTCCAACAAGAAATCTAATAACTGCAAAACTCAAATTTTCCCCTCCCATTAACTAAATCCAAAACTTTGTCTTCTGAAATATAGGTTTGTCAATTCACCTGTCAAAACCTGAAACTACTTTTCCATTTTTCCTCCCAATTTTAAAATAAAGTAAACCCTCACACTGTTGTTCTTTATACAGTAAAGAACATTTGGCTATGTGCATCCAGCATATTATTTTGTTAAGAGGAGACACTTGATACAGACGCTAGAGTAGAAATTTAAACTGCAATTTAACCAAAAAAATATCTAGAAATCTGTTTTAATGTTGAAGCAAGGAGTCTTTAGATTTATTGCTCTCAAAAACAAAATTAACAGCTTGGCTTAGTTTCTAAATAACCCTGTTTCTTCAAATGAGAAGGGATTATAACACTCAAATATATTGCTTCATGGAATACTATACTTTGCTACTCAATTTTCTCACAAGCAACATCAGGAAATTTCCTTTAAAAGCATTCTGCAACGAATCATTCTTGGTAGTATTACACTTTGGAAACACCTCTCCTCCCCCTGTATTAATTTGGGGTATGTCTACACTACAAAGTTAGTTTGAACTAATGGACGTTAGTTCAAACTAACTTTCATAGGCGCTACACTAGCGCTCCGTTAGTTCGAATTTAATTCGAACTAACGGAGCGCTTAGTTCGAACTAGGTAATCCTCATTCCACGAGGATTAAGCCTAGTTCGAACTTACTAGTTCGAATTAAGGGCTGTGTAGACCCTTAATTCGAACTAGTGGGAGGCTAGCCCTCCCCAGGTTCCCCTGGTGGCCACTCTGGCCAACACCAGGGAAACTCGTCTGCCCCCCTCCCGGCCACGGACCCCT